AGCAAAGAAAATTTACACTATTTGATAGAGTGAAAGAGTTCTATAATCAAACTTAGGGCCCAGATTATAGGTAACCTACATTCATCAATCAAAATATATGCTATAACAGAGGCCTAATATTTGAAGGAAATGCAGTGGTACCTTGGTACTTAACTGCTTTGATTATAGAATTTAGTACTCAATGCATTTTGACACAAAAATTTTGTCTCAATACTCAATTGTTTTTTTGGTACTCAACACATAAACTAGAACTTGTTAATGTTGGCTGCGTTGTAACCACATTATTTCTTATGGGAAAAATCTGTTTGGTACTCATCATTTTTGGTACTCATCACACCTCCTGGAACCAATTAATGATGAGTACCAAGGTGCCATTTTTTAAATTTAGTTCATAATTTTGAAGTTTACTCCTGTACATAGTTAAAAGCCATACCTAAAATAGTCTCTTTTCCCAAACTCTAAATAAATATTGCTATTATGTGTAATTGTTCTACTGGTCCAAAGCTAGAAAGCTTGGATTAAATAACACTTTGAAAGCAAAGCATGTGATTGCCACAATACTACTGTTTGGTTTATAGACCTTACACGCATGGCAAAACATGCAATCTATAAAGAATCAGTTATGATTTGAGGTGTGATTAACCAACCTATTCTCACTACAGGATCATTGGCCTTGCCTGTTAAATCAAGCCTATCCAACAATTATTTCCTTCCCTGAAAATCTATTTATAATCTTTTTTGCTTTTGTATTAAGGAGAATATATTACAAAGAATTATATGTATGACTATCTTAAGACAGCAGTCATAGTTCTGAAAAGTTATTCAATTTTATTCTCCTTTATGCTTTTCATCTGACAGAACAGACCTCATAATTCCATATCCTTCATGTAAGCCTCAGTGGTAAAATAATTATTTGACTAGTATGTTAAATACAAGTTTTGATAAAGGAAGATAATGTAATTCCCTACAAGTTTATTACTGATATTTCTGTACACATGTACAGCTCTGAGCTTTATACAAAGTAAAAAAAAAATATAAAAAACAGCAAAATCACAAGCATAATGGTGGCCAAAACTTAGCATAATGAAAGCTCAAATACTCTCTTTCAGAACCAGGTTTCACATTACTGCAAAAATTCACCAGGCAAGTAGTCCATATTTATGGGAGTGAGCTGTTTCATGGGAGGGAAGTCAACACTGGGAAGACCTAACTATGGCGTACTACAAATAGGACTCCCTTGAGGACAAGACTTTAGCAGAACTTCTTCCCCTGGTTTTACAGCTAGATTCAGTTCAGAGCAGATGATCTTGAAGATAACCAGGTCCTGAGGCATATAATGCTTTACAGTTTATAACTAGCAACTTGAATTTCTCCTAAAACTAAGTAGCAACCAATACAGATAGTCCTCAATTTACAACAGTTTGTTTAGTGATCAAAGTAACAACAGCCCTGAAAAAGTGACTCATGACCATTTTCACATGATCATTGCAGCATCCCCACGGCCACATGACCAAAATTAAAATGCTTGGCAACTGACTCATATTGGTGATGGTTGCAATGTCCTGGGGTCATGTGATCACCTTGTGTGATCTTCTGACAATGTTAATGGTGAAGCCAGATTCACTTAATAACTGTGTTACTGTGTTACACTGCAGTGATTCACTTAACAAGTGTGACAAGAAAGGTTGTAAAATGGGGCAAATCTCACTTAACAAATTTCTCATTTAGCAACATAAATATTGAAGTCAATTGGGGTCATAAGTTAAGGACTACCTGTACAGTTTCTAGAATAAAGGTGTTTTGTGGGCAACTATAGGTGCATCCATTGCTACCCATACTAGTGCATATTGAACCAGTTTAAGCTTCTGGATAGTCTTCATTTGAAGACACTTCGTTTAAGTCTATCAGAAGATAGTCTTCAAATCAAGACACTTCATTTAAATCTACTATGGAATGATAAGAACACTGGTGCTTATGTGTAATGCCTTCTAATCCTGAGAAAACCACAACGGAGAGACAATATGTGTTTATACAAAGGATTTCCTGGCCATGGTCACTGTTCAAGCTGAACCCAAGAATCCAAGAGAGTCACCAGATTACAAAGCTGCTATTATGGGGAATCATGACCCCATTCTATACATGAACTATTTCTGGATTCAGAAGGTCTTCATACCCCCAGCCACTCATTATTGCTAGATTCAGTGTAAATCTGTTCCTCTCTATCCAGATGCCAATCACCTTTAGGGGCTGAGTCAAAAAGTTCAATGCCTCATTTGCATAGCCTGATGTAAGGAACAATCTGCCTGAATTAAAAAAATAGAAAAGAATACAAAAATAGAAAAGATGCATTTTCCTTTATTTATTCAATTTATATGGCTGCCCGTTTTAAACAAGTGACTCTGCACACCAAACAATCATAAAATCAATTGAATTACAAGTACAATACGAAAGAAAAATGAATACATACAGCAGCCAAGAAAATTATTATCTGAAAATGATAACTTAACCAGGAAATGAGAACCTTAACACACTCTGGACTCTAGCCCAGCCACATAACTAAGTCTTCAATGAGTTATGAAAGGTCAACAAGATCAAGGCCATGCAAATTTCTTAAATGACAATATTCCACAGCATAGGCATTACAGCAAAAAAAAGCCTCCTAGTCACTGCCAGAAGATATTCCTTGACTAACTGGACTCAGAGCATGCCCATTCTGCTGGACTAGATTGGGCAGGTAAAAACAACTAGGGGAAGACGATCCCTCATATTACCTGGTCTCAAGCCATGAAGGGCTTTAAAGGAGACAACCAGCATCTTGAATTGCACCTGGAAACACATTGGCAACCAAGAAGCAGAGGTGTTACATATGGCAAGTACCTGACACCATTTACTACCAATGCAGCTGCATTCTGTGCCAGTTGAAGCTTCTGACTGCTCTTCGAGGGCAGCCCAATGTAGAGCACATTGCAGTAATTATGACAGGTCACAAAGGACTGAGTGACAGAGACCAGAGCCTCCTCGTCCAGCATGGGCTCAACTGGCACAAAAACCTGCAAGTGTGCAAAAGGCCTCTTAACCACAGATACACAGACTAAGAGGACCTCTGGACTGCGTACCTGGTCTGTGTGGGGCAATGCCACCTGATCCAGGACCAAAGGTGGAAAAACCTTGACAATGGAAGGCCCAACTACACAAAGCCAGCCTCCTCCCATTGCAGAGTGGAGAGAGTGGGGACTAGAGAGGAATCTCAAAAGAACAAGTGCAGAAATGCTCTTTTACACACTGGCAGCAGGAAAAAAAGTCAGGCAAATGAGATTGTCTACAGAAATCACTTGCTTCCTTCCCCTCTCCACAGAGAGGGGAGGAAGAAATTTCAAGGTTCTATTGCAAGCTGTTTTGTAATATGCTCCCGTTTTATTTTTCTAGTGCAATCTCATGCACAATTCTCTCTAGAGTCTTATTTGATGAACAACATAAATCTTTCACAAGTCAGCTTTTCCCTGGTATTTTATGTTTACTAGAATTTCCAAGGAATAAAGTGCAATAATATCTGGTTGTCATGGCAACACCATACTCACAAAAAAAGTTTCCCTTACATTAGACAGAACTGAATTTAGTAAGGGGAATGAGTTAGCGACAGAACTTAGCATGTTCATTTCCCAATTCTGCTCCATAATTCTTCAGCTCATTAACTTCTGAAATCAAATTATCAAAAATATTGATATGATTGTTTAAGCCTATTACCAGTTTATGACTACCAATATCTAGATTTCAGTCGGCTAAGAATATCAGTGATATTACAATAAATGCATTAAAAAAAATCTTTAAAAAGTGATTCTAAGGAATATTTCGTAGTATCCCATAACATGTCCTGGCTGGATTTAAGTTACAGAAATTTTGTTTATAGCAAGAGAAAAAAAATCTCATTGCCTCCCTGCATCAGCATATTCATTAATCCACATACAACATGAATGTATGTAGCTTAAAGCATACTGTAGTAGAAATATATGCTGTAATCTCTCAACGTTGTGCAGTCTTTCATCCACAATGTATCTTTCTGTACACACCTACAAAGACTTCAAGTTTTCACAGAAACATAATTCAAACAAACCTCAAGTATGTGGACTTCTGTCATCCCTCCAACCAAGAGAATAACACTTAAATTAACATTATGCATCAACATCAATGAAAATAAAATGAGCACTGGGAAGAGCCTCTGACAACCATTAATTGCACCTCCCGCTGTAGGATTTCTACTAAAAAAAAAAGAGCATTACTTTATCCCACTACAGAGGGATGCATATCCAATTGTGGAACATTAGCACCAACATTTCCCTCCCTCCCCAGCTGTTGTTTCAGTACTTCAGGATTGAGTCCATAAGCCTTCAGTTACTTATCCTTGGTCCTTCACAACTATACCCTCAGCAATTGTATATGTTGACAAGCCGCAGCCAATCTTAGATTTGGAGGACAATCTCATCAAAACACCCCACGTGTAAGATTGCCACCCATTCAGCTTTACACGAGAAAGGAACATTAGGTTTCCACACAAAGCATTTCCTGTGGGGGGGGAAAAAAACCCCATAGCGTACGAGGCGGCCAAAAAAAAAAAAAAAGCCACGCATCCGCTTCAAACGACAGGAGAGAGGTCACAACCACTGGGACCTTCTCCTATTTGTGTTTTCAAGGAGCGCAGGTCGGTTTTGGACTTTTTGTCCCCAAGTTTATTAGCTTAGCTAATGAACAAGGAGGCAATGGCCCTTTTTCCAACGGCGTCGCCCTCCGCCTCCAAAAATTGAGTAAAAGCAGGAGCGGGGAGAGCGGTGGGGAGACGGTGGGCTCAAGGCAGCTCCCCAGCCCAACCTGACCAGGGACACTCCTCACTTGGTAAAGGGGGTGACAGCCCCCAACCTGAAGGCGAGGCTGAAGCCCGAAAAAAAATCCGCTTCCCCTCCTTTCTCTCCCGGTGGGGAATGGGTCAGGCCGGCTCCTTCACTCACCATGTATAACGTAAAAGGGAAGCCAAGCAGGAAGAGCCACAGGTAGAGGTGCAACGCGTTGACCCCGGCGCCCTGGTGCGGGTCTTGGTACCAGCCGCCGCTCAAAGCCGCCCACACACCCTGGCGCAGGATCTGCAGCACCTGGGAGCCCATGGCGGCCTGGCCCCAGCCCGGGTCCTGCCAACCCCGAGCCCTCTTCCCTCTACCCGCCCTGCGAGCCCGGGCACAACTGCCCGCCGCCTCCACAGCCCGAGCCTCGCGACAGCCACAAGAGCCACCCCCCCGTCCTCCGTCTTCCCCTCCTCCTCCTCCTCCCCCCCGCCAACGCCGCCGCCATCTTACTTCCGGGCACCGGACCGCCCGCCCGCCCGCCTATGGACCGACAACCCTTGCGGCAGCCGACGCGACCTCAGCGCCCAACCTGGTTTCTCCGCCCGCTGCGTGAACGGAAGGTTCGGCGGCGGCGGCGGCATCATTTTCGGTTCGGCTGCCCAGCCGCTTGGCGAGGAAGACTCCCCGCCCCACCCCGCAAGTGAAGTGACTCAAAGCCGCAAAGGGAGAGAATGCTTATTCTCTGCCCTTGGCGAATGAAGCAGGGATGGAGGGGCTTTTCTTGGAGCTGCTTTCCAGCCCCAACGCTGTTTTCCTTGCGTTTGGCCTTTTTTAGCCTGCGTTGATGTCCCCAAATTGCCAGATATTTACTTAGGTCGCTGGAGCGGTCCACCGCCTGGCTCACCAGGTGGCAGAGAATCAAGCCTTTGGCAAGGCTATCCACAGCCAAAGCAACAGAACTCGAGTTGCTTTGGACTGCATCTGCTGTCTTCTCTATCGGAGCGTCTTCAGCCGTTAGCATTGCTGAAAGTATGGGAACGGGCGGGGGAAGGCATTTATTTTACAGGATCACTAAAAATGCAAAAGGTGTCGGAAATTGCGAAAAACTAGACCTTCGAAAAAGGGATAGAAGAGCAGCTCGCTTGTCGGGACCGGGAGCGGTGTACTTTCCCTAGGGCGCCGTTCTCTACCAAGCGGCTTGTAATGTGAAAGTACAAATGGCCATTAGTTCGCAGACACTTGAGGTTTGGCGATTTGGACCGCTGTCCTATCACCCTTTTCCCCGGCGAGTGTTTTTTCAACGGGACTCCTGGTTTTTCTTCAGTTGCCTCTTGAAAAACCACCTTTGGGGGACAACCATGACCTGGATAACTGAGAAAATCCGTAGAGATGTTCTGTGCTGAGGAAAACGCTTATGCTCAAGGCAGCGTACGGCGTTGTGGGCAGTTAAGCAGCTCGCTGCGACCATGAAATCGGGCGATGTGGGTCACTGATTAAACCACAAGTACTGCGGTACAATACTGTGCCAAAGTGCCATTGGCTTTTGGAGAAGAGTAACCCGGCAAAGAAGAACTGAAGTGAAAAGAGCGTGATTTTGTAGTGGGTGGGGCCTGGAGTTATTAAGTTACGGCCCCTCCTCCCTTCTCGCGAGATGGTCAATTCTTGCGAGAACAGGAAAGCCGAAAGCGTCCTGTGGTGTCATAGTAACGAGGCTTTCTTCCTCCACGCTTGCTTCCTGGCGTGCTGACAAAATTCGATCTTCCCAGCACCCCCCCCCAAACCCCATTTTGTGTTAGTGCTGCTTTATTTTTATTTATTTTTATTACGGTTGTAAAATCTACCGTGGACCATAGTCTGGTATTATTGACATAGCAGATCTGTATCCATTTGCCTGTAATTAACCATGGTTTATTCAAGCCAGCTTTCTGGTTTGGATGATGTATGGCATGCTAGGCAAAATTATGGCTGACTAACTCGTTGTAACTAACCCCAGCCAAAAACGAACGGCAGTTTGCTTGCAAACTGTGGGACGATGTTAATTAAAACACATCTTACCAGGTGATCGTTACTTTGATTGACAAAAAGGCCCAATGGTTTCATTGACTTTAGAGCTGTATGAGAGCAGGAACTCCTTGTAAGGTTACTTTCACCAGCAAAATCAAAGGGGAGGACTGAAGTTAAGAGGGATCCATAAGGCAGGTAGAGTTCCATCTACCCATATAAAGGCAGGAGCTGTCACTGAGAATACAATGCCTGGGGAAACACAGTTTGTGCTCTCAGCAACCGGATAGATGGCAAACAGTCCACTACAACAAGGTGGTAAGAAAGAAGAAAACTTTGGGATTTAATTCTCAACATATACAGATCTTTCAATTTTGTAGGAACTGTTTTTTACATAATCATGTCTGCCTAGCATCCACAGTAAAATTACTTATCCATGCAATTCTCACAGATCCTGATTTTGTGAATATTTCCTAAAAAATCTGTCCACCCAAAAAGTGGCTCAGAGAGCATGAGGGAAATCAATCCACATAAGAAAAGTCCTTTTCCATTTGGAAGAAAATACACACTGTTTCTCTGTTGCTACCAAAGACAGCCTGTGCTTGGCTAGAGTTAAACCATTCCTCTAGTTATCTGGGAACTTGAATAAGTAGATCTGTAGGTAATTATATGTGTAGACACAAGCTAATGTAATCACCAATGCTGCAAGGTTTAAAAGAGGGACATAATATAAAAAGTGAAAAAGAAATCTTGAAATTATCAAACTAGAAATGAAACTTTAGGCATATGTGAACTTAAGGATTCATATATTTATTCAGGGCATGGCATGGCAATAATGCTCAGAAAGGACATTACTCAGTATAATATATACTATAGTTGGCTATAATCCATTAAATGATGAGATGGTATATTAGAATTATTGGATATCCCATACGCAGTTACACTAATATATGCTCCTATTGATCTGTTTCTTGGGATATTTTATCCAATCCTCATTTGGGGAAAGTTCTTTAGCTATCAAATAGGACATTTAATCACCAAAAAGGAGATGAAATGCCCATTGAATTATTATAAACAAAGAACAAATATGAAGCAAGACTGAATTACAGACAAGTACATAGATCAGTTTATATCTTTTTTCCAAAAAAGTGAGATGCAGGAAATATATAAATTATTGAACCGTTTCATTAATTATTCATATAAATAGATTTATGATATTCTTGATAAGATGTGGAGATTCACACTTAGAGAAAGTAATGCCAAATGTACTAGCAGATTTTAGAAAAGTCTGGAGCATAAGGTACCTAGTATAAATGATGTAATATTTTTTTAAATTGTTTTATTAGTTTTTAAAAACAAACATAAACAAACAAAACATAAAAACATCAAGCTGTCTTCCATATGTGTACATACAGTGTGCCGGTTGGTTTACAAATTGTTTTGTGCTTCCATTTCGTAGTCTTCAATTACAATTGCATTGCATATAATCTCATATTTAAATGATGTAATATTAAAAAATAAGACATTACAAGAAAAAGATCATTTGCTTTGTTGGCTGGTATATAGTTTCATTTAATATGAGCTCAGAAATTAATATTAGCTATCTGATGGAGAAATAGAGATGTATGGAGAAAAGCAATGGATAAGAATCAGTAAAACTCATTGCAAAGATGACCAAAATTAGGTTAGGTTTCCAGGAATGTGAACCATGATCTTTATTTAGCAATCTGACAGCTATATGTTTCCTTTCTGTGTCATCACACAAAGTTTAATAGAAATTAATGAAAATTTCTGGTTAGAAGAATTGTACTTCCATTTATTAGTTTGACAAATTTCAACACTATTTCACTGAGGTGACTTTGCTGAGTTTAGAAAGAATGGGCAAAAACAAATATTGGAAAATTACTAGAAATATGAAGTTCTTGCACTGTCTCTTTGGGAGCAAATTTTAGAGAAGGCCAGTCCAGCCATACAGCCAGGGCAATTAATTTTCTCAAGGGCTCACATGAGAAACTGGAACAGCTGTGGAGGTCAAAACCAACAGGGTTGTAAAAGTGCATACGGATGCATGCATGTAAGCACATATGTAAATTGGGGGGGCGGGGAAGCAATAACCTTCAAAATAAAAACAATGCAATTGTGTGCATGGCATACCTTTTTACAGTTAATTTCTAATTTCTGACTGACCTCACATGAGCTGGACAGGGATACCCTTAGGGTTTTTATTATTTATTTCAATAAATGAAACAAAATAATCCTTAAAAAAGCTCTTCTGTTGCCTGCATTCACACACACACACACACACACACACACACACACACTCTCCAGTGATAGAAAACTTTTTGAAGCCATCACAAATAACTCCACACTTCGTTTCTTCAATCAGTTCCTGATAGTCCTTTCTACCTCTGCATTTGAATCAGATGCCCATGAAGGTATTCCTTATATAATGTGAAAAGGTGAAAATTGCATGACACCAAGCCTGGACTACGTGGTGAATAGGATAAGATGATGAAAACCAACATAATTTCATTTTTGTAGTTCTGATCTTACTTGTTTCAGATTTTGAGGTTTGCAATGTAGCAAGGAGTTGTTAGTGGTGTCAAGTTCAATAAAATCTATTAACACCCTCTGCTGATCAAAAATTGTAATCATGAGTTTTCCTATTGCACCCACCCCTCTCCAAGAAAAATGAAATGTCCTGGGCAATATTAAAAAGGCAGAATATTTCCCCTAAAAAAGTAGAAACTCAGAAGCAGAAACTCACCTCAGAGGGGCAAAAACTCAGCCCCCCCACCTTGGTTAATGGGCCATTAAGGCCTAGGCCAGAGTATTCTACATAATAAAGGCCTCTACCCATCTCACTGCCTGGCCTGGGAAGATAGTATCAGCCAATACTCAGGTGAAGCCATGTGGTCCAGACAAAGCCTACAAAATTAGTTAAGACACCCCACCCCCACCCCACCCACCCCCGGTCTCTGGGAGTCTGACAGCCAATGGGATACATTTCTTGCACAGGAACAGGAAACACTAAGGTGGGGCCCTAAGAGAGGGTATATAAGAGTCCCTCAGCATCTTGGCCCTCCATTCTCTTTTCACCTTGACGCATGTGATCATCCTTTTCACTTTGGAGTTCCAAGCCATGTGGTCCTGTCCACCATTAAACCATCTTTCCAAGCAGCCTCCATGTTTCCAGTGTCTTTTTCCCCACTTGGAACTGAAGCCAAAAGGATAATTCTTCCAACACTATCAAAGCATGTTTGTTTGGTGTTTTTTTGCAGTGAAGCTTTGTGATGATATTCTTTTGCTTTTGAATCATAATGATGTACCCATGGTTTGTTGGTTGCTATGATGCTTTGAAAAAAAAAATTGCTTTCCTTCTCATAGTATGACAACAATTGCTGGCAAATTTCAATTCTTTGAGCAGTTAAAACTTACATCTCATA